TCAGGTAATGCTTTGTGCCATGAAATATAGTATACTCCCTATTTTCTTAGCAGCTCTGTGGCTCAAACCAGGGCCTTGCAGATGCCAGGCAAGCATCCTGGGAACCCCAAGGCTGCACCCCAAGGCATTGTTTTCTTTTTTTTTTTCTTTTTTTTTTTTTAAATGCCGGCTTTCTGGGCTGTCCTGCCAAGGCAAACTCTGACTCTTTTTTTTATATATATATTTATTTATTTATTATGTATACAATATTCTGTCTGTATGCCTGAAGGCCAGTTGAGGGCGCCAGACGTCTTTTACAGATGGTTGTGAGCCACCATGTGGTTGCTGGGAATTGAACTCAGGACCTTTGGAAGAGCAGGCAATGCTCTTAACCACTGAGCCATCTCTCCAGCCCTTTTTTTTTTTAAATGGCCTTGTTTTCTTTTAAGAGGGCTCACTGTGTCCCGAGTCGGGCCTCCAACCACCTAGAAGGCAAAAGCAAGAGCATTTCAAGTTGAAGATGTTTTAATTTACAAAATGTGCCTAGATCTGATTGGGAGGCTCACTGCTCAGCAGAAACCTTTAGTACTTGAGAAAATGCAGGAAGAAGGAATCATTGCTTCGCATTATTAGTAGGGTCTGTCTCCAGTGGCTGCTGCAAACACAGCTAATGACAAGACTCACTTTTTAAAAACTATGCATTTTTTATTTTCTGAGACTACAATTACATAATTTACTCCCCTTTCCTCCCTCCAAACCCTCCCACACGCTCTCTTCCAAACTCGGGTTCTTTCTCTTTAGTTGTTGTTGATTGATGGTAGTAGTGGTGTGTGTGTGTGTGTGTGTGTGTGTGTGTGTGTGTGTGCGTGCTTGTAAATGCCTGAATATACAAACACAGCCTGTTTAGCCCATAAATTGTTTCTTGTATGTACTTGATCTCAAGATTGACCACTTGGTATTGGATAGCTAAGGGACTTCCTCCCTGCACTGCAATTACACACAGGCCACACCCACCTGGCATTCATGAGGGCTCTGGGGATCCAGACTCTCCAGTCCTTATGCTCTCAAAGCAAGCGTTTTAGCCACTGAGCCATCTCCCCAGGCCTCTTCAGCAACTGTGAGGATTCCCTGTTTGTCTTTCTCCCTTCGCCATTCTGCTGTGTGCTCAGACTTGCGTGCTCAGTCTTCTTTGAGGCTGTCCCAATGCAGCCCCCAAACTTTCCGGAGGTGTAGATTATTGCAGGCTTGGATTTTCAAAGTCATTTTGGGTGCCTGAGAGATGTTTCAGAGGTTAAGGACATGGACCACTGGGTTGTTCAGATCCCGGCACTCTTATTTGGCAACTCACAACTGTAATTCCAGCTCCAGGGACCGACACCTCTGACCTCCACCGGGACCTTCACTCTTGCATGCGAGAGTACATATGCATGCATGCGTGTGCGTGTGTGTGTATGCACACACACACACGCACCTTTTAGAATTATATCTGGAATATTCTCTGCCATTGTTTTTTCAACTGCCTTCTCTTTCTGGAACTCTGGCTGTCGGTGTTTTGGACTGGACAGTCCCCTGCAGGTTTCTGGAGCTGCCCCTCATCTGCAAACTGTTTTCCTTTGCTGTCCACAGAGGAGTTTCACTTCTGTCTTCAGCCTTGCTCATTCTTCTATCACCGCAAATGCATTACCGAGACCTTCCAGCAAATTCTGCCTTTTATTTGTAATTCCAATGCCAACATATATATATATATATATATATATTCTCTCTCTCTCTCTTTTAACCACCTCCTCCAAGAAACGTCGTTAGACCAGTTTCCTTTACCTTTTCAGAACATGTTTCTAGTGCTCACTGAGAGTTCTTTAATTCGCTCAGTGTGGGATCTTGGATCCTTCAAAGAGAGTTCCCACCAACAGAGGACTTTCCTGCGTGGGGGACTGTGTCTTGATTTCTTTACATAACTTCAAATTGTTTGTTAAAAACGACCACCTTGTCAGACAGATGGTGCATGTCTCTCATCCTAACACTCTGGAGACAGAGGCAGGGGAATCTTTGTGAGTTCCAGGCCAGCCAGGGTTACATGGTGAGACCTGTCTCAAGAAACCCAAACCAAATAAGAATAAAACAAAAGAACAGAGACCAAGCCTAAAACAAAAACCTGAGCAGCTTCAGGATCACAGCGCGACAACGGGATTCCTGCTCTCCTGAGTTTGTTAACGCAGTTTTTTTATTTCTTTCTCCCACTGGTTTGTTTTGTGGCTTTTCTGGACTAATTATCTCAAGTGTTTCCTGTTATGTGTAGGCCCCAAAGTTCCTGATTACACATCGCTGCGGTCAGCTGCTGACCAAACGAAGGCTTCCTCGATGCTGTGAGCTTCAAGGCTCTGTGTATGCCTCTCCTTTTTGTCGCGTGGGGTCTCCCACGACAAAAGGCCACCCAGAGGTGGGAGGTTAAACCCTCACAGACCTTCTGTAGGCGGAAGCTGGTTTCTGGGATGGTGTTGGAGGTTTTCCACACTCCCTGTGGGCTATTAACTGCTCTACATTTTTTGTATTTTAAAGTTATTTTTTAGGGTTTATGTGCGTGTACGTTACAGAGCCTGCACATGGAGGTCAAAGAACAACTTTGAGAGTCAGTCTCTCCTTGTGTACCATGTGGTTCCCAGGACTGAACTCAAGTGACCTGTCTTGGCAGCAAGCACCTTTATTCTCGGAGCCATCTTGCCAGCCCTGGCCTGTGATGTCAAACTGCTGTTACTGTTACATACCATCACCGTCACCATCATTACCGTGACCACCATCACCACCACCACCACCACCATCATTATCACTAATTATTATATTACCATTTTATTATCACTAACTTATTACAAATGCTCTTTTGGGCTTTTGCTATGCAGCAAACACAGAGTCAGATTCAGTGACAGCGAGTCTTGCAAACAGAACTTTCCAGAGAGCCCCAACAGATAAACACACAGTAGCTCTCTGGGGACAGTGCTTGTCTCGGAGCTCCAAACCCAGCCATGTCCGTGGGGGCTGCCAGCTGCTGTTCTCACAGCTTCTCTGTAGCGAGTCTCCTGGCTTTCAAAGCTACCGGCTCAGGAAAGAAAAGAACAAAACAGGGACAATGGAAATGCCCCAGCGCACCCTGACTGTACCAAGATTCCGCTGTGCTCTCGAACCAGCTTTTGGCTACTTACAGCGCTCAGAACGTTGGCTTGAAATGCTATCTGACTGTGTTCTCATTGGTTCACAGAGGAGTGGATTCTGGAAGTCAGGACCGCAGTTTTCTGTTTAAAAAGTCATCCCCCCCCCCCAATGTTGTCGCATTTTCTGGGACAAGCCAATGATCGCTCTGATGAAGCTGTTTCTGTGTCACTCAAGGGTCTAGGTGCATTCCCAGGCTCCTTCCTTCCTTCCTTCCTTCCTTCCTTCCTTCCTCTCTCTCTCTCTCTCTCTCTCCCTCCCTCCTTCCTTCCTTCCTTCCTTCCTTCCTTCCTTCCTTTCATTTGCTTGCTTTTTGAGACAGGGTTTCTCTGTGTAGCCCTGGCTCTCCTGGAACTCACTCTGTAACCAGGCTGGCCTCAAAATCACAGATCTGCCTCCTGAGTTACCGGGATTAAAGTGTGTGCCACCACACCTGGCTGACTTCTCTGTGTTTTCGAGCCGGAACTGCACCAAATAGTTCCCTGGATTCTGAGACTGGGGAAGAAACTTGAAGAGTTTGACAGAGTCTGTGCATGAAAACCAGACCCAGAACCTTCCTGGTCGGGATCCTTCCCTCTTACATATACTGCTATGCGTGCTTGGTTTGAAGATATTTTTTATACAGTCTAATTTCCCCCCAGAGGTATTGAGTTTTTGTAGGTTGGGCAGTGTGTGTGTGTGTGTGCACAGGTGTGTGCGTATGTGCATGGAAGGTACTGTTTATCTTGGTTCTTTGAGAATGGGTCTTTTTATTAGGCTGGCTAAGCGGTGAGCTCTAGGAACCTTCCTGTTTCTGCCTCTTCAGCACCCAGGATTACAAGTGCACACCATTAGGTGGGTGCTGGGGATGGAACTTGGGTCTTCAGGCTTGTACAGTAGGCACGTTACCAACCAAGCCATTTCCCCTTCCCCACTGGTTGGTATTTTACTACACTCTGTATTAGTCAGCGTTTTGTGGCTGTAATGAATGGCTGGAGGAAGACAGCAGAAGGGGAAGAAAGGCTCTGGCTTTGGGTCTGCTATGGGGCAAAGCTTCATGGGGGGAGCACTAGAGAGAAAACTTCGAACCATTGCGACTGGGAAGCGGAGAGAGAAAAGGGAAAGGCCAAGGTCCCCTCATCTTCTTTTAGGGCTTGCCCCAGCTGACCCAACCCTCACACATATCAGATACTTTCCTTAACCACCTCCACTTTATCTCTTTTATAAGTTTTTGTTTGTTTTGTTTTTGTTTTTTGTATGTGGGGTTTTGCCTGGCCTGTATGTATATACGTGTCACTCTCTGCAGTGCCTTTTGAGGCCAGAAGAGGGCGCCAGATGCCCAAGAACTGGAGTTACAGTTGGTTGAGCTTCGCTGTGGGTTCTGGGAGCTCAACATGAGCCCTCTACAAGAGCAACCAGTGCACTTAACCACTGGGTCACCTCTCCAGCTTTATTTCTGAGACAGAGTCTCTCACCCACTCTGGAACTCACTGACTAGGCTGGCTGGCCATTAAGCCTGAGAGAGTCTCCTCGCAGCCTCCCCAGAGTTGGGATCCCAGGTCGGCACTGCCTTATCCTGCTGCTTTTACAACATTCTGGGGCTGGGAACTCAGCTCCTCTAGCCTGTGCAGCGGTGAAGCACTTCATCCACTGAGCTATCTCCTATCGTCCCACAGCACTGCCTCATGCTGTTTTCTTTGCTTCTTTTTATTTATTTATGCCCCTTTCTAACCCAGAACTTCAGGTGGAAGAGCACCCAGCTTCCTTCATCTCTCGGTCTGCAGGTTTAAACAGCCCCCTCCCCCTTCCCCACCCGCCCCACGCGCTCTGAATAAGCGCTCTCTCTAAATCCGCGGTGGAGCTGAACAGACAAACGTCCTCTCAGTGAGCTCAAAGCCCGTTTCTGAGTGAAGCTTTCAAGAAAAGAACCGTTCAGATGTGGCGAGATTAGCGGTGAGGAGGATGCCGTGTGTTCGACATCTATTCCAACCTCCTTCACGCGTGCCTTTTTACATCAAGAAGCCAGGAAAAGAAAACCAATTTCCCTATAACCCACTTGCAAAGAGAGACTTTCAGCTGCGATTCAGCCCTCGCCAACCAGAGTCACGCGAGCAGGACCGGCTTTGGAAAGAGTTTAAATGGGAAGAGAGATGGAGCGCGCGCTTCTCTTTTACTGGCGCGTTTAAGGAGCTTCCTGATTTGTTGGTTTCCTTGGCAACGGTGGAGGAGACCCAGAAGGATTCTGGGGATTGGAGGTTTTCCCTAGGGCTCAGCTCACAGCCTGCTTTTCCTGTCTCGATGGCTTGGGGGCGGCTAATACTCCTTGCTAGGCAAAGCTCCTTCTGTCTAAACTACGGAGGCACCTTCCATTATCTCCAGCGCAATCTCAGGAGGCTCCACGCCATAGGTTCTTAGAGACATGGATGCCTGTGCTTGGTTACCAGATCTGATTCAGAGTCAGTCATTGAGGGCTGTTGCCCAGTGGTGGAGTGCTTGCTTAGTATGCACAAGGCCCTGAATTCCAATCTTTGAGAAACAGGAAAAAAAAAATCCACACAGTGAGTTCAACAGCAGGGAGGACCTTAGGGCAGAATGGATAGGACCTAGAGTCACTCGGTCACCACCACAGTGACCATCAGAGCAAGGATGAAGTATGCTGGGCTGGAGAGATGCCTTAGGGGGCAAAGTGATGGCCTTGCAAGCCTGACATCCCGATTTCAGACCCCTTGGAACCCATATGCAAGCTGGGTGCAATAGTGCAAGTACTTGTAATCCCCACCAGGAGGCAGGAGGCAGACACTGGAGCATCCGCAGAAGCTGCAGGTCAGGTAGTCTGGTACACGCACTGGCAAAGAGACCCCGTATCAAACGAAGGAGAAAGGTGAGGGTTGACACCCAAAGGTTGTCCTCTGACCTCCACGTGCTTGCTGATGACACAGAGGTCTGCAGGGGCACACAGGGCCACTTCTTCTCACCATAATGACCTAAGGAGAGGTGTCGAGAGTCACCTGGGCTGGAGCTCTGAATGATAGGAGATGCAGAGACAGATGGTTCCTGGCCACATCCTGTAGATGAAGGTTTCTGTCCTACCTGGTCCTGCAGCCGTTCAGGCCCAAAGAAACAGAGAGAGGTTTATATTAATTATAAACTGTTTGGTCTATTAGCTCAGGCTTATTAAATTAACCCATAATTCTCACCTATGTTTAGTTACTTGGCTTGGTACCTTTTCTCAGGAAGACATTCTCATCTTGCTTCCTCTGTGTCTGGCTGGTAACTGACTCTCTGCCTTTTCTCTTCCCAGAATTCTCCTAGTCTGGTCACCCCATCTATACTTTTTGCCTGGCTACTGGTCAATCAGCGTTTTATTAAACTATTACGAGTGACAAATCTTTACAGTGTATGAGAGCATTATCCCACAACACACGCGTTCAAGGCTTAGTCTCCAGACAGTGGTGTGACCAAGAATTAATGGAAACCTCAAGAGATGGGATTCTCCGGGAAGATGCCCAGCATGCAAAATGCCTGCCGCACAAGCATGGGGCATGTATTTGGGTTGGCAGCACCCAAATGGAAATCTGGGCATGGAGATACCGGCAATCCAAGCTCCGGGGCATGGATCCCTGGGCCTCCCTGGCCAGGCAGTCTAGCCAAATCAGTGAGCTCCAGATACAGTGAGAGACTTCCTCAAGACCTAAGACTGAGAGCCTGCTAAGAATAGAGATGACATGTGACCATGTGGTGCATAGCATTCTGTCAGCAGGTTACAATTATCATCAAGCGTGTGACTCCAGCAAGGTCATTCCTCACAAAACACACGTAGAATACCTCAAGCTTAGGGATGACAGACAGCTTTCCTCATGATGCTAATCTTCACCATCCTGACTGGATTTCCATTCAACTAGGAGATTGGTGAGGCACACCTCCAGGTGCATCTGTGAGGGTACTTCCAGGGAAGATAAATGGTGTGTGTGTGTGTGTGAGAGAGAGAGAGAGAGAGAGAGAGAGAGAGAGAGAGAGAGAGAGAGAGGAGAGAGAGAGGAGAGAGAGAGAGAGGAGAGAGAGAGAGAGAGAGAGAGAGAGAGAGAACTGCCTTAAATACAGTGGACTCAGGCAGAATGAATAAGGAGAAGGAGGCAGTGAGCTGGGTGCTGGTGTTTGTGCCTCTCCATCCCCAAACCACTGTAGACTGAATCTCTCCTTAAGTTTTTTCTGTCGGGTATTTAATTACAGTAATCAGAGTGGTTTCTAAGACTGAGCTATCACATCACCAAAGATGACCGTTGCCAGTTCTTACTGGCTCCACACCTAGCACCTCTTCTCCTGCCAAGAGGTTAAACATGAAACAGGTGTGGTAATCCTGGCCCTCAGAAGGCTGAGATGAGAAGATGTCTCTGAGTTAGGAGTTAGCCTGGGCTATATTGCATGACCTTTGTCTTGGCCCCTTTCCTCAAAGGGAGGCAGAGCTTCTTCTTCCTGCCTTTCTGAGTGTGTATCTGTCTTGGGTTGTGATTTCTTCAGTCAACCGAATGTGGCCGTCACTGTGTTCCGGGGCCTCCAAGGCCAGGTCTGGAGTGAGTTGGCCACTTCTCTTTCCTCCATTTTGTTTGTTTGTTTTTTTAAAGATTTATTTATTTATTAAGTATACAACATTCTGCTTCCATGTGTGCCCGCACGCCAGAGGAGGGTGCCAGATCTCAGTACAGATGGTTGTGAGCCACCATGTGGTTGCTGGGAATTGAACTCAGGACCTCTGGAAGAGCAGCCAGTGCTCTTATCCTCTGAGCCATCTCTCCAGCCCCCTCTTTCCTCCATTTTGTAACCTTCACTTTTGAGACTGTCTTTTGGGGTCTGGTTCTCCAGCCACAAGAGACCCAAGCAGGTGGAGAGTCTAGCAGAGGGAGTCCTGGGAGGGGCAACTGACCATCACCAACCAAGAGGGAACCATCTTGGAGACCTGCCCATACTACTCACGGTTGGTGGCACCTTAGGCTTTTCCAGATCTGAGCTTGCATGTTTCCACAGGTTTCAGCAACTCCCTTCCAGATCAACAGCATGGAGTCAACACTAGAGTATGCAGAAGCCCTGTGGGGATGGAGAGGTTCAAGTGCAGCCATCAACAGTCTCTACTCCTCCTGTGAGCCTCTCCCTTGGATGCACCCTGCTCTTTAAGGATACCCAGGGAGAAATAAACACCCCTATCACCCTCGCCAGCACCAGTGCCACCTCCAGGTTGCAGGTGACACTGGCTTCTTCAATGTCACCCTCATCATCATGAAAAATCACCATCATTATTGTGTCTCATCTCTCAAGCAACTACCCTTTGGCATCCACTCTCACAATGATCTTTGGGGTACTTGTTAACCCTCTTTCACAGATTAAGAAGTCAAGGCAAGTCCTAGTTAAGACAACCTGTTTGCTGGAGACTGTTTGGAAGTGAACTTGGGCCCTTGCTTTGTGTCCTAAAGCCAGAACGAGACAGGGGAGGTAAGTGTCGGCCCCTGTGGAAGCATCATGTTTGAATCCATATAGCATCCCATCCATTCCAACCTCATAGAGGAGGGCTGGGGATGTGGCTCAGTTAATAGTGTGCTTGCCAGGCACGCATGAGACCCTGATTCAACCCCCAGGACGTAATAAACTGGGTGTGGTTGTTGCACACCTAAAATCCCAGTCCTCAGAAGGTGGAGTCAAAAGGATCAGTTTAAGGTTATCTTAGACTCCACAGTGAGCTTGAGCCAGCCTGGGGTATGTGAGACCCTGTCTTGAAAACAGAAAAAGAGGAGGATAGAATGTGCTCACCAGAATCTGGATAGGATAAAAGGAAGAGTGGAGGGGAGACAATGACTTAATTGTAGGAAATCTCTCTAGGGGTCCAGGGTGTAGGGACAGCAGATTTTACAACGACTACACTTTAGAAACGATGGTAAACAGCCAAGGCTAGGAGACTCGAATTCCTCTGATTGTCGTTTTTACCCTGCCGCATGTCAACTGATCCCACCGTATCTGTGAGGAGTAAATGTCACTGTCAGCTTGAAAGCATTTAGAAATTTAGGGTCACCTCAGAGAGCACGAAGAGGTCCGATCAGTGAGGAACTTTCCAGATGGGTTCATTAAGGTTGGAAGACCCACCCTGGATGTGGGGGACACGAGTTCATGGACTGGGGTCCCTGACTGAACAGAAAGGAGAAAGCTAGGTGGAGTCCCAGCATTCACCTCTCTCTGCTTCCTGACTGCAGGCGTGACCCGACCAGCCACCTCACGCACCTGCCGCCATGCCTTCCCCACCATGATGGACTTCGACCTCAAACGGTGATCCAGAACAAACACTTGGGAAGTTGTTATTTCCCTCAGCAACGGGAGAAGTGGCAGTGCCTATGAACAAGCAGTATGTGCTGATTAAAAACACGAAGAAATTAAAGAGAAGTAAACTTGGCTCGTTGGAAAATTAAAGCCCAGATAAAAAGGGTGTTTGCTGCTACACACACGTCTCCTCTCTTCCCATCAACCTCCAAGAACTAATGACTGCTGAGGGCTCTGGGGTGTTTGGGATGTCAACAGTGTTAGTGAGCACACTCCAAACTCCAGCGATGAGAGTGGCATTCTTTTTGGGGGGTGAGGGGAAAAAAAGGCACCCCCTGGCACCAGAAGGTGGCAATGACGGCTGCATCTGAAGCCGTCTCCACCTCTTCAGTCACGGGCTGGAGCTGAGGGGAAGCCAAGCGTCCCATTTTGTTTGCTGTGTGCAGCCTGTCTTTCCAAAACCAGGCAGGCGCTAATTAGATAGCCACTCTCGAAGATGCTATCGCTAACTGGAAGCCATCCAAATTGCTCTCTTTGTTCCAAGCCTTTGGAAGATGTCCCCCTCCCCAGCTCTCCTCCCCAGCCCATCCTCGCATGCCAAACCTCAAGGACCACAAATACAGCTAATTATGTCAGTGCGTCCTGGTGCTGGTGTTCCGGATAGCATCTTTCATTAGCACTGACCTTCCAGCTGCCTGGACCTGTGGGAGCTGGGGGAGGAGGAGTATTGGCTACCCCTGTGGCATGGCAAAGCAATGAAGAAGGAGGTGGAGGGCATTGGTGACATCTCTAACTCGCCCTAGGCTGAGTGTCCTCCTTCTTCCTGTACCCCCCCCCCACAAGATGGCAGTAAACCATGTAGTGAGGATGACATCATGTCTCCAAGGGGCATAGACAAATGGTCCCTCAAGGTACCTTCACATGATCTCTGGAGTGAATTTTGTGTAGGCACATGTATATTGGCTCACAGGTACATGTGTTCTCTCTGCATCTTGAGGCCAGACATTATACTTTCGTCCCTTCCCTGGTTGATTCTAGGTAGGTGTCTCAACCCCGAATCAGGTCCCCAGTTTCTCACTGGTTGATTCTAGGTCAGTACTCTACCACTGAGTCAAACCCCAAACCCCTCACGAGTAGATTCTAGGCAGGCGCTCCAAAGCTAAACTATGTCCTTACTCCTCACTGGTGAATTCTAGGCAGGTGCTCCTCCTCTGAGCCACACCCCAACCCCCCACTATAGGATTTGAGGCAGTACTCTGTCATGGAGCCACATCCCCCAACCTCTCACTTGTAGATGCTAGGCGATAGGGCATCATCCCTATGGGGCACAGGGATGGTGGGAAGCCACTAAGAGGGAGGTGAAAAGAGGCCACTTACCACTTCCCGTCTTCAGCTTTCAAAGTGGTTTCTCTTAGCATCACCAAGGCCACATGGAGGGACCAGCTGCTCATCCTTTTCTTGACAAGAGTTTTGGTAACTCAGACCCTGCCAACCTGTACCTTCCTGAGGCTCGTCAGCCTATCGGAGGAGCGCATGGGAGCGTTCCCCAGGCTGCTCACCCATCCATCACTCAGCTCATCGGAAACAGGACATAAGGCTTCATTTGCATGACTAATAATGCCGATGCCATTGAGAAAGGGGGTTGGGATTATGACTGAGACTCAGGGAAACTGACAAGATGTGGAAACTATGGTAACCTTCACTCCAGAGGACAGGCTGGCTCTGACAGACAAGAGGGGAAGATTTCCGTTTCTTCTCCTGCCCAGAGTATTTGGCCGGCATCCCAGTTGCCTCTGCTGTGGAGAAGTCACTCTGAATATGGCTCCCTCTCTTTGTTTGTGAGAGTCACTTATAAAAGAAGGGAACAGTCAACACTGTGCTGGCCCAGATCCGAGCGTCTCCCTTGATTGGACCAGCGATGTGTTCTTTGTCAGGGTCCCTGTGAAGTGAATCCCGTGCTGGGTGCCAAGGACAACAAGAACTTGCTGGTCTGGATAAACCACGTGACGGCTGCTGAGGGCAGATACTGGCTCAGTCCTGCACATGCGTAGAAGCATTTGTGACCGTGTGGCCGGTGGGCCCAGCCATTCCTGCCTGTTCGAGCAGCTACTATGTGTTGTATTCTCGGGGTCAACTGGTCACCAATGAGTTATTGGGGTTCCTGGCAGGAGCTGGGAGGACCCAGCAGGGAGGACAGCCTCATCACCCTGCCCTAGGTGCTGAGTGGGCCAAGGTGCAGCCCTGGTGCTCCCTGTCTGGCTTGCAAGAGTTGGAGAGTCTCTGCTGTTTCCGTAACCTCTGAGGAGGAGCCTTCTGGGTCTTGTAAGCTTAAGTTCCCAGTCTCTCTGTCTCTCTGTCTCTGTCTCTCTCTGTCTCTCTGTCTCTCTCTCTCTCTCTCTCTCTCTCTCTTTCTCTCTCTCTCTCTCATGCACTGTTCTGGTTATTCTAGGCATTCAGTAGGGAAAGGATCTTGTCTCCTGGAGCGGAAGCCAGGCCCACAGGAGACACGCCCACAGGGAGTGAGCCCACAGGACCAGATGGGCTGAGTTCTCATCAGTACCCATTACCTCTTCCACCCTCTTGCTGCCTTCTGTTTAGTGACCAGGAAGCCCATGCTATTTTCATGTAGGGCAGCTGTCCAAAGCCACATGTGTACACAAGAGAAGAGGTGGGCACACAGAGAAAAGCTGCTCAAACAGGACAGGTGGCATTCAGGAAGGCTGGCGTGGCCAGAGCAACAGGTGTATCTAGTTTCAGGGACATTCCTTCAGGTCACACAGGGGCCTGGGCTGCTCTCAGAGGTGGAGGAAAAACAGGCTGGATCTCAGTGGTGGACCCAGATGGGCACACAGGGGCAATGTGTACTCAGTGCAAAGCCTCACGCCTCGGAGAGCATGCAAATACAGACATGGCGTGTCTTGGGAAGGCTCCCCTTAAAATGAAATTGTTTATTTGCGCAAATCTCTTTAAAAATTCAAAGCAAAGCTAAATTCTTGGGATACACAGTGGAGTTCAACCTCAAATTTAGAAATATTCGCTAGCAAACCCCAAATCCTGCAGTGAACAGAACTTACCTGGTACAAATCTGCATGCTGACTTAGTGTGTGTTGATTCAGTGTGTGCTGGCTCAGTGTGTGCCGACTCAGTGTGTGCCGACTCGGTGTGTTCTGGCTCAGTGTGTGCTGACTGACTCAGTGTGTGCTGACCCAGTGTGTGCTGGCTCAGTGTGTGCTGTCTCCCTATTTGCACTGTTTGATCCTTGTTTGCCATTGTAAGTAGTACCATGTTGGCTTATAGTGGGTCTGGGTTCTGCCCCTGGCAGACACCACAGACCAGGAACCCCTACTCCCAACACCATAAACCACAAAAGACAGTATAGGAAGTAACAGTCTTGATTGTCAACTTGACTGTATTGAGAACACCATGGAGACAAGGCTGAGGGCATGACTAGGAGGACATTCTCAGATTAGGTTACACATCAAGTGTTCCAACCTACACAGCACTGTCAGATAACACATGTACACTACGGTGATGGTGACGGTGGTGGGGGTGATGGTGGTGATGGTCATGGTGATGGCGGTGATGGTCATGGTGATGGCTGTGATGGTCATGGTGATGGCGGTGATGGTCATGGTGATGGCGGTGATGGTCATGGTGATGGCGGTGATAGTAGTGATGATGGGGGTGGTGAGGATGATGGTGACTATCTTAGTTAGGGTTATTATTGCTGTGATGAAACACTGTGACCAAAAGTAACTTGGGGAGGAAAGGGTTTATTTCACGGTTCCCTATCACTGTTCATCAACAAAAAGTGAGGGCAGGAACTCAAGCAGGGCAGGAACCAGAAGGCAGGAGCTGATGCAGAGGTCATGGAGGACCTCTTGCCTGAAGATCAGAGTGCAAAGCTAAGCCACGAGAGGCCAGAGATTGGTGGCACACACCTTTAATCACAGGACTTGTGAGACAGAGGCAGAGGGATCTTTGTTAGTTCAAGGCCACCCTGGGCTACACAAGATCGAATCTGTCTAAAAGAGAAAGAGCTCACACAAAGGTGATCCCAGCACTTGGGATCCCATGCCTTTAGTCCCAGCACTAGGGAGGTGCAGACAGGAACAATATGGCTGGGTGGAGAGAGGAATATAAAGGGGGAAGAGATAGGAACTCAGAGGAATGTGGAGTCTTCAGGATATCGTGGAGACAGGATCTCACCCCTTCAGTTTGAAGATCTGGCAGAGGTAAAAGATCTCTCTAGTGGTTGGCTGCTTAGGTTTTCTGATCTTCAGGTTGAACCCCAATATCTGTCTCTGGGTTTTTATTATTTATGCCACAGATTAACTGCTGAGCCATCTCTCCAGTCATGGAATTCTTAATCTGAAAGTGTATGATTCTTGTGTGTGTGTGTGTGTGTGCGCGCGCGCATATATGTGTGTCTTCTTCCCTGTGTGGACACATGTGGAGGACAGAAGTCAATGTGGGGTGTCCTCAGTCACTTTGCTTTCCACTCAATTGCTTGAGACAAGATCTCTTGCTGAACCTGAAGCCATCTGGGCTTGATTGGCTTCTCAGAAAGCTCCAGAGGTCCTTCTGCCTCTACTTCCCCAGTGCTGGGGTTGCAGACGTGCACCATAACGCTCAGATTCTAGGCAGATCCTGGGCATTGAACTCGGGTCCTCACACAAGCGCTTTGCCCCCTGAGCCATCCCCCAGCCCTCACTCACTGGTTCCCGTGTATTCACAGTCATGCAGCCAGTGTCAGTATTTAATTCTAGCACATTCTCCCCAGTCCCCAAAGAAGCTTGGCACACACGAGCAGTCACTCCTCATTCCCCTTAATGTCCCAGCCCCTGGCAACTACTAATATGCTTTCTGTTTCTATGGATTCCGAAACAGGCTGTATAGATGGAATCGCACACTCTCGTCCTTCCGTGCGTGGCTTCTTCCATTTAATGTAATATTTTCAGAGCTTATACATTATGTGGTTTAGATTGGTCCTTCGCTCTTTTTGATGGCCCCACCACATTGTTCATGCATTTATCAGTGGATGGGCATCTGGGCTATCTTCCCTGTTTGACTCTTAGGAACACTGCTGCCAGGAACATTTTGCATTTGTTCTTGCATGAGTGCAGTTTGGTTCTTCCGAGCCTCCACCTCAGCTGTGCCTCTGTCTCTAAATTGAGAGGTCCAGCGACAACGCCATGTTTAACTGCTGGAACAGCTTGTGACCTCGCCTCTACAGAGGCTCTCTCGTGCATGCCCACCAGCACTTAAGTTATTTTGTACGTGTGCGGGTGTTTTGCCTGCATGTATGCAGGGGCACCATGCTCACGTGCAGGACCTGGAGAGGCCAGAAGGTGTCAAATGCCTTGGGACTGAAGCTGCATGGTTATGAGTCACCCTGTGGGTGCTGGAAACCAAACCCTGGCCTTCTGCAAGAGCAGCTAGTGCTCTTGACCACTGAGCCATCTCTCCATCTGTCCCTTCGCCTACATGCTAGCATTTTTTTATTTTTTCCACATTCTTGCCAGGCCTTGCTGTTTTCCTTTTCCAGATGATAGCCATCCTTCCTGAGTAGGGCATGGTTGTTCCTGGTCACAACTGCATTTCCCTAGTGATGCTAAACGTGTTCTCATGAGCTTATTGGCTGTTTGAGTACCTGCCTATTCAAACTATTTGCCTATTATAAATTGGATTGCTATTATACTATAGTACTGTTGGGTCATAAAGGAACTTGATATGTTTTGGGTACTAGACTTTTGTTTCTCCTTTTGGAGGGTTATAGTGTGTGTGTGTGTGTGTGTGTGTGTGTGTGTGTGTGTGTGTGTGTGTGTGTATGTGCGTGCGTTTAGGTACACATGCCATAAGACACATGTTGAGGAAAGAGAACAATCCGAGGGTCTTTCTGTTCACTACTGTGTACGTCAGGTTAGCTGGTCCATGGGCTTCCAGGGATTCTCTTGTCTTACCTCCCATCTTTTCACGGGACTACCTGGATTACAGGTGCACACTGCCATATCAGGCTTTATGTGAATTCTGGGAATTTGAGCCCAGATCTAATGGGGAACCTCCTTCAGCCAATGGCCTTTGAGAGGCTGGACCAAGTTGGGTATGGCCTTGGGTACTAAAAAGGCGCAGGCAGCCTACTCTCCAACCCCCCACCCCCCACACCCCGCTCTCACACCTGGATGCTGGATTCTGTTCCTGTTCCCTGTTGTGATCTGTGAGTACCCCTTTAAATTCACGCAAACACACATATACCAACATACCTCACATACACATACATGCTCACACACTCTTACAAACACACACACACACACACACACACACAAATGCAGCTGGTGCCCCTCTATTCCCTAGGTCTTCACTTTTGCACTTTTTTTTGAGGCAGGGTCTCTCTTGTGCTCCCCCACTAGCCAGCCTGGGAATCTCCAGGTCAATCTCACTCTTCTACCTCCCATGCCACCATGTGAGCCCTGGGAATATAGATGTGTTTCCGTCTTTTATATGGTTCTAGGGATAAAGCTTAGGTCATCAGGCCTGCCTGGCAGGTGCTTCTGCTCACTGAACCATCTCCCCATCCGGACCATCATTTCTTTATCTATGTGACTGCAGTCATCTTGGTATCAGCTGGGGACTGGCTCTAGACACCCTTCTAGCTTCTCTAGAAGCTTCTTCTGTGTTTCC